CCTCCCTCCGTGGAAGGGTGGAGTCAGCACATTTTTAGAGAAAGCCAAGCAGTCCCATTATCCAGTCCACGTGGAGGAGTACAGGAGCCGGAGGCTCCACAGTCCAAACCCAGGAGAGAGGCTTGACTATTTTGTTGATTTCCAAAGTGTGAAAGACACTAGTAATATTATTTGTGGTGAGCTTAGCACAAGCTGGGTACTGCGAGATTCCCTTTACGTGTTGTTATTGAAGTTGATCTGTGCAGCTCCAAGAGTAGGTGCTATTCAGATGAGGAAACAGAGAGGCTAGGCAACTGGCCCGTGGCCACAAATCTATTCAGTGGGGAGGGATCCGAATCCAGCCAGAGTTCTTTCCCAGTAGCGGCCTGTCTCTTACTTGCAGTACGACGACAGACACCATTTGGAATGCTAAGTGCGCAAGAATTCTCAACTGTCTGCCGTTTTTCACTGGGCTGTGCCAAGCCTCCCTCCACAATCTGGGATTCTAACTGCATCTTATTTCAGCAAGTACGTACTGCCTGCCTTCGATGTACATCCTGCCCCGTGCCAGGCACAAGAGCCCCACATTTGATGAGGGGGAGAAGTGAGACCTTTCTCAAGAAGTTCACAGATTTGCAGTGGGTAAAAGGGACACACATAAAACCCTCACAGGGGACCGTACAAGAGGTCTGGATTGAATAGGGCCGTCACTGCCTGCAGATGCCCGGAGGAGGTGAGGTTTGAACAGGGGTCAGGAGAGGAGGCGAGGTCAGAAGTCAGGGCATGAGCTTTGACCGGAGGTCGGAGCTGAGGGATGAGGGTGGTGCAAAGGGGTAAAGCGGCCCCGGGAGAGCCAGAGGCACGAGCCCCCTCCAAGGCGCTCTCAGCCAGGGCTGCGTCAGGCAGGCTGCTTCCGTTGGCCAGGGGCACGCTGCACTTGGGCCAGGGTCCCAGGCCCGCACCGCTGGGAGAGCATCCCCCAGGCTGGGCCACAGGCACAGAGGTGGGTGCTGTGCAATTCCAGGAACGGTAGGTGCCACACGTCCTCGGAGCAAGCGTAGCCAAAGGGACCAAGGCTCCTGTTGTAGGAGGGAATTTGGAAACCAAAGCCAGCAAATCTGACACTTGCAAATGAATCTCTCCCCTACCTTGAAGAGCAGGCATATAAATCAGAAGAGAAGTACAGATAAGTCAAGGAGAAAAAATGGAACTTCTGCCCATAACTTTCTGAAATGTTTGAGCAACAACCTTAAAATGCATGCGCTCTCCCCCAGTAATTCCATCCCATAAATGCTCCCTGAGGAAGTAATGGGAAGAGTGTGCCAAGAGGACTATAGTGGCTTTGTTACAATAGAGACAAACCATAAACAACCTAACTCTCTAACAATAAAGGTTTAGTTAACACGGTTTTGCATGCTATGCGATGAAATCCTAAGGCGCTATTCCGAATGGAGATGCAGATTTATGTTTAACTAATGAGAAAACAATTCCTAATACACTGAGTAAAGTCAGATCATAAAAGAGCAGATTATAAAACAACTATCAATCAATCTATCTATATGATTCCACTTTGTAATGTGGTTAGATCTCTATGGATAGAAAAGTTAACGGAAGCTATCTCTGTGTATATGATCATAGACAATCTTTTTAAGTTTGTATTCCTGTTTATCTGTATTTTCTAATCTTTCTATCACTTGCTTATATTTAAGGGTTTCTAAGTGGACTGGAATCCCCTGCTTTTTTGTTGTTGAATTGATACAGTCGTAAAGCAACAGGCTCTAAATATTAACCCTTTGATTCCCAAAGTATGAGGCATCTGTCTCTGTTGAGACAAGAGTTCTGAGTGGCACTGAGACACATCTTTCAATAACACTGCAGAAGGAAAGGGAGTCCCCTTTTTAAATCTCCTTCAATCATTTTGCTTATTCAAGGAGAAAACTTTGTCTTGGGCCGAGTATGTTTTCAACTGCTCTAGAGGAAGTGCCCTTCTCTCTTTATAACCGAAAGAGCATTAAGTCGATGGCATTGTTGTCCTTTCATTGTACTTAACGTTGCGACTGCCTTCTACATTCTGCATTTCTAGGAAATGTTTGCAAAATACTAGAAAGACCAAGATTCCTTTAATTAAGAAAATTAGATAAAACTGTTTGTCAGTAACTCTTAAACAATTTTACAGTAAGGAATTTGGTAAGAGGGTGATGATCAAAATGACAAAGGCAGCACACCTGTATTGAAGTCTGAGGAAAGGGGTGTTAACCTCTAGTGAGGATAAAACTGGAGTATCAGTGTGGACTAGAACACTCAATAGCTCTCCCGGGCCTCAATTGCTGTCTGTCTAGCATATCATTTTAATATAAAAACAATAGCATGGAAATAATCAATGAGCAACTTGCTCAAGTGCTGACCCAGCCAGTCGGGGGATAATTTCAGAACAGGATTCTGAAACAGTCCGTCCAGATAAATCCTGCTGGGACAATGATTGAAGAGAGAAGCTCCGAAGAGCAGATACAATTTCTTTGCAATGTTTGCCTTGAGGACAGAGGCCCTTCCACAGGAAGAAGGTCGAGTCCAGTCTATTTTTATAAGAGTATTGCAAGTGGTTAGTGGACTTATTTCCTGTGGTTCCCAGGAATTCTGCCCCAGGCTCTCAGGAGGATGTTGGTGATAGGAAGAGGGATTTGATGAGTGAGAATCAATAATTATCTCTATATTTGCTTTGCTTTTTTCTACAAAAATAATCTAAGGGAAAAACACTTGCTTTAGAAGAGCAAAGTTCATTATAATCGAGAGTGGAATGCAGCATGAAAGTCCCTTGGTGTGTGGCGAGTCCTTAGGTCAAGACTTTGCAGGCTGAAAATTTATCTGTCCATCTATTCCCTCCCTCCCTCGGTCACTCAACAAATATTTGAGCAATTCCTCTGTGTGGCCATAGGCTGGGGAGAGGATGGCGAATAAACATGGTTTCTGTCCTCTGGGAGCTTACAGTCTAGTGGGGGAGAAAGACATCAGACAAGGAAACGCACGGGTGGGTGGACAATTACACGTGACAGTAAGCGCTGGGCAGGGAAAGAACAGGAGTCTGCAAACGGCAATCGGCAATTGTGGGGCTCCAGGGGAATTGAACTTAGATGGGAGGCTAGGGAAGACCTCTGGGGAGGCGGCACTTCAGCTGCCACCTGAAAGGTGAGTAGGAGCCACCCAGTGGGCACTGTTGGGGAAGGGCATCGCTGCAAAGGGAACAATTTATAGGAGGGCTGTCCCGTGGAGAAGACCACAGTGAGTGCAAGGATCCAAGGGTGGATGGGGTGGCCAGAACGTGAGGGACAAGGGGAGGGGACGGCAAGAGGAGTGGCCAGACCATGCAGGGTCTCGCAGGCCACGGTAAGGGTCTGGGTTTTATTTTATGAGCATGGAAAGCCAGGGAGGAATTTAAGCCAGGAAGTGGCCAATCTGATATAGGGTTTCAAAGATCTCTCTGGGTCCAATGTATAAAAATGACAGGACAGGGCTAGGAACAAAAGAGGGGGCTATTGCAGAAGGTGAGACCGGAGGTGATGGTGGGGTGGGCCAGGCGTTGACAGTGAGTAATAAAGCATATGAATTTGATAACCGTTCACTAGAGTTTAAGGGCTTGATCCATAGACCTCAGAGAAGTCAACCAGCTAGCAGGGCTAGGATTAGGGTAAGACAGGGAAAGGCATTTTTTTCAGGCAAAAACTGTACTCGGCGCTCAAAGTAAATCATATTTTAATGCGGTATTTTTCAAAAATCCAACTTAATACAGAAATACCCATGATGAACCACCACAACAAAACCAGCACGATGAACACCACACCAAAACCGACAGTGGTGACAACATAACGTGAGTGAAACAAACCCGAAATGAGCCCTAACGAGGCCTGCACTGGCGAGTGTATACAGTGACACGGAGTGAGACAATCACGAGTAAACAAGTAAATAAAATCATAAATTGTCATAGATGCCATGAGAGAAACACATTTAGGTCTGAGGCAGGGGACAGGGAAGTGACAGGGGCTTCCTTAGATGAGGGGGGCCCAACGTGACTGGACGCAAGGAGGAAGATGCCCTGCCTGGACGTGCCGTGTGTGAATAAGGGTTCTTGCAAATCAAATCCACCAAACTCCCCACACGCTGGGGAATCTCACAGCCTGATGACTTACTCCTACGAAGAACACTCTTGAAAAGGGACGCCCATTTGTTCATTTGTTTATTTTCTGCAAGCACAGATCTGCAGAAGAGTTGTTCTCACTGCTGAGGGGTGAAGAGTCCATGACCAGGAAAACATTGGGCAATGTTCTGCCTTCTGCCTGCCCCACCCCGGGGGGCCTGTCTAAAAGTCTGGATTTGGCAGATTCCAGAAGAGCCCCCTGGACCCGGCCATGCCCAGGGGGCGCTGAGGAAGGCCGCTCTGAATGTCAAGGGGAACTACAGAAACGTGCAGAAAGGTGGTGGCACAGAGAAGTAAGGCGAAACCACTGGCATGGCTTTCTCCTTACTTCTCGTTGCCTAGTCTGCTTGCAAAGGCTGAAAAATTCCCCACTTTTCAAACAACCCCACCCAGCACAGCGGTTCTGTGATCTCCGAAACATGAGAGGGAGAAGTGGACATTGAAGGATATAAATGGCTTTGAAAGGTCAGTTAGGAAAAAGAAACAAACAAGGACCGCGAGAGTGGAAGGGATGAAAGCAAACCCCGCTTTGAGCTACCTGCCAAAATCAAAGGAAACTCCCGAGCCAGGCCCTGTGTGACTGATGGGTGCACCGTCGCGGTTCCCGGCTCCTACCTCGCCGCGCGATTGCTCTGATAAATGGCATCTTGATCGCAATGTGCACCTTCTTGGAGATGCGAGATACCAGGGCCACTTTATCTCTTAGTTTAGCTTTTTGGATGCGAGATTCCAACTCACTTCCAAGCCCTTTCATCCTTTATCAGACACGAGCCACTTCCCACGGCCTTTGGTGATGTTCTCTTGCTCCGTCTCCCTCCCATAAAAAACCCACCTGGTCCCTGCCAACAGGGGGGCTGCGTGTGGACCGACGTGTGGGACAGCAGTGACGTGGCCACAGGGCTGCGAGAGCCCGCAGAGGGGCCGAGACAGGGCGAACGGTGCAGATGCGAGAATGGTCCCTCTAGGACTATTTGCGTGGGACCAGAGAGAGTTGGCAACTGCAAAGAACCTCTAAAAATAGCCCAAGTCCTTAAAAAGAAAAAATGCAAAAGGAAGCAAGTGTTATGTTGTCCTAACGTAGGCTCTACCAACACTGGGCCCCGGAAGGCTGGCGCTGGGGCAGATGAGTATTTTCTTCCTGCCCTTGGCTGTGACACCCACCGGGTCCCTTTGCAAACCGTGGGCCCTGCTGCTCCCTGCCCGCTCCCTGCTCGGGGCAGGATGCCTCTGCGGGAACGTGGCGCTCGGGGCACCGCTGGGGCCTCCACGGCCCCCTTTCGAGATCTAGAATAGACTCTGACCTACGCGGCGAGCTCCATGGGGTTTGCATTCCTCTCTCGCAGCCAAGTACCTTCGTATACACAAAACCGCGTGCGGGGATTGCTAACCGTTCCTCCAGAAACGCCGGGATATCATCTGTCTGGCAGAAATGTGAGTTTTGTCCTTTCTATTTTTTAACGTTTGGAGGGAGCCTGGGCCCCCTGGAGATGAGGCCGGCCAACAAGGGGCGACATCACAGACTGACGAGTGGCACCGGGGGTTTTGTTCTTGGCTGAGCCGCGGCTTTGCTTCGCTAAGCCGTTCCCCCTCCCTGCGTCACGCTTCTGGCTGGAGAAGAAGGGGAGGCGTCCACACAGCCCGTTTGACGGAGGAGCAGCAAATGCAAAATGATTGTACAGTGCCTGGCGCGGTGTCTACAACAACAGCCCCCCAGAGAAGCTCGTTCACGCACATAAAAAGCTCTGTGCAACCCCAAGTGCTATAAAAATTCAGATAATCAACCCACTCAACACAGGCTCTTAGTAGCAATGATGATGACAGCTGGCGTTTCCCAGCACTCACTCTAGGCAAGGTCCCCTTCCTTCCTCCTGGCCCCGAGACGTGACGAGACCGGCACTCTTAACAGCTTCATTTGACGGATGAGCCACCGGGACCAGGAAGGTCAGGTTACCCGCTCGGTTTTCAAGTAGCTACTAACACAGCAGAAGCCAGAGTCCAGGCGTACGACTCTCGGGTTTTGAGAACTTCCCTCTTTCTTGGCGTTTGCAACCCAGCCTGAAGAGGTCTTGGGCCTCGCCCCAGCCCTGTATCCGCAAAGCCACGTGGCTGCCCTGACAAGGGCCAAGGTGGCTTCACGTGCTGCTGGGTCACCTTGCAGGGGCACAGGGGTGACAATCAGGAAAGCAGGGATGGCAGGCCACGGAACCGCTGTGGGAGAGGACAGGCTGTCAGGGGAGGAACATGCAAAGGTGCCATTCACTGCAAACTAGTGTTTCCTTTGGAACACGGGGGAATGGCCCACGCATATCGTAGAGCCTGGGGGGTAAACAGAACAGAGCAGCTCCAGTCACTTGGTGCGAGGGGCATCTTATTCCCTTATCCTTGCTTCTTCAGCATTTAAAATCGTGGACTCTCAGGCGGGGCACAGTGGCTTATGCCTATAATCCTAGCACTCTGGGAGGCCAAGGAGGGAGGATCATTTGAGCTCAGGAGTTCGAGACCAGCCTGAGCAAGAGTGAGACCCCATCTCTACCAAAAAAATAGAAAGAAATTGGCTGGACAACTAAAGTTATACATATATATAGAAATTACCCGGGCATGGTGGCGCACGCTGTAGTCCCAGCTACTTGGGAGGCTGAGGCAGGAGGATTGCTTAAGCCCAGGAGTTTGAGGTTGCGGTGAGCTAGGTTGACACCAAGGCACTCTAGCCCAGGCAACAGAGTGAGACTGTGTCTCAAAAAAAAAAAAAAAAAATCGTCGACTCTGGAGTCAGAAAACCCTACGTTCGGATCTCAGCTCTAACATATATTTAGCTACATGACCTTAAGACAAATTACTGAAACTCTCTGAGCCTCAGTGCCCTCAGCTCCACAGCAGGGGATAAAAAAGCAATGCCTTGAGTGCAGTGCCGGGCAGCGTCCCTTCTCTGTTAATGAAGCTTTGGAACTTTGGGACGTCCACACAGGCTAGGGTAGGTGATCGCATAGAAAGTGTTACTCTATTACTCAATTGCCTCCCCCCAAAATGCCTTGCTAACAGAATTTCTTTGAGGATTAATACATGCAATGTGCTTAGGAGTGTAAGTACGTATCATTATTTATGGATAAGTTTTATTATTTATGAGCACGCCAAGAGCAGGCTATTGGGTAACCTATGGCAGGGCAAGCCCTCGGCGACTCCAAACAGATAACAAGCACATACTTCAAAAGGCTGAGTTCGGAGAAGCTCAATTTTCTAGGTCAGGAAGGGAAAAAAAAAAAAAAGCCCAGCAAACAGACCACCTTCCTGTGAGTTGGAAGCTTGGCTGACTTTGAGAAAGGAATGTCCTCGCTGGGCTGGTTCTGGAAACTGTAACTTGCACAAGAGATTCAAAAGATTTTTGGAGACACATCAGTAAGAGAAGGTTGAGGGAAGGGGCGGAGGGCTGCCAGAGCCCCTGCAGAATCACTTTGCGTTTGGCTGGAAGCCCCGGGGCTTTAGTGCGTCAGCCTGCAGGAAGGATGTTCCCGTTTGAGACGCGCTCAGGTCATCAGCGTGGCCCAGAGCCTGCAGGACGCCCGCTGGGGACCGGGACGTGCCATTAAAGCTCAGGCAGGAGCGGGGCCAGCGAGCACTCTGATGCACCGGGAGCACTCCGTTTTTCCTCCTGGAGCGGAGGCTGTTTTCTCTAAGCACTTAGAAAAATTCCTAACCTCCGAGTGAACGATGCCCTACGGCAGGGAAGAGTTTTGTGGGTGGATAAACCAGACCGCAGGGGAAAAAATGATCCAGAATCAAGGGAAGAAATCAAGAAGGCTGGAGGGGATGCTCGGGGGTGCGTGCCTGTGTCTCTTACCCTTCCCGACGCTTCGCTAAGCAGCCTGTGAGCCCAGGCCGGGCGTGAGCTGGGCCAGATGAACAGCCCCCGCTTCCTGCCACCTGGGGCCAAGCACCCACGCCCCCCCATCTGAAGCATAGCTCCATGCGTCTGGCTAGACCGTAAACTCCTTCAAGGCACAACCTGATTTCTACTACCAGACCTTAATCCCTTACTTGAAAAGCCTTGGTCTGGATATGTTTCCTGATCCAGAATTTGGGAGATTTTAGAAAGACAGTATGGCACAAACATATCATATACTATGGAACCATTCCAGTGGGGCCTGGGACAGTCCCCTAGAATCAAACACGATAGTAACTCTGTACCAGATCGTATAAATGTTAACACAAAGTGGGATAAATGAAGACTTTACGTTTTAGGATAGTTGGGGCCAGGTTTTGCCACAATCTAAGTTATGAAGAAACTTCTAGTTTTCAGAGCTTTGTGGATTTCAGAGCTGTGAATTAGGGATTTCAGGTTTTTCTTTTCTCTTTTAAATTTCCCAGGACAGCTACAGCGTTCTGCCCATGGCAGGCGCCGAGGAGAAGTTGCTGACATCTAGAATGAGACATTCTGATTTCCCTCCAATGATATTTGATCCTGAAGCCAGAGGACAGTTTATTCTTAGTGACTTGGGGATTCTGTAGGATTAGAAGGATCTTAAACTAAAAGCCAAGAGAGAAAGACTGTTAAACCCATGGGATGGTACCATTGTGGATGGTAGTAAGAAGTGCAAACCCAGGAAATACACTGAGAACTCGTCACTAGCCTATCATATCAGCATCTAAACAAATGATAGTGTCACTGCACATAAGTGACAATGAAAAATTCTAACCTATCACTTAGAAAATGGTATTTTCCAGGTATTACTGACATATTGCTAAATGGGAAAAATCAAATTTGTTCCTAAATCCACAGCACAGATGATTGCAAAAGTAACAACAGGGTAAACAGATGGCGGCAATCAACTAATATCTATCGAAAGCTGGGCTTAGCACTCTATAGGCTTTATCACTTAATACCCATAGTGACTGTGTGCAGTGGCTATTGTCACGGAGTCCCACCTGCAGAGGGGACACGGAGGCTCTGTGAGACAGAGTCATGTGCTCGCAAGTGTCCAGTCTCCATTCAAACGCAAGCTAGTCGGATGCCAGTAAGCCAGCTATCAGAGGGAGAAGAAAAGAAAGAATTTTAAAAGCCTTGATTTATAGCATTTGCCCATGTCTGTGGTATAACTATTCTCACCAGGGCTGATGTCAAACTGCTCATGGTTTAACAATCAACTAGCAAAATTCCTATTTATTTAATAATTGCCTTTCACGACCCTGTGGGAGCTCCCTCCTACTCACCATTGGCAAGTCCATCCCATAGTCGGGTCCACAGTTCACTGTCAACTTTGGGAGATGAGCGGTCAGCTCAGGGAACAGAACTGGCTGGGGGGAGCATGCCTTTGCTAGCCAGGCCGGTCAGTGCTGGCCACTCTGCTCCTCAGACCCGGTACAGATCCTCGAAGGTGGGGCAGGGGTACAGACAGAGGACAGTGCACACTGCTCCTCTTTCTTCAGGCAAACTTTCCCTGCCAGGGTGTGTGAGGTGGGGCCCTGCTAGCCCGACATGCCCTGGCAGAAATCACAAAACTTGCAATTTTCTTTTCCAGGCCTTACAAATGATTTTTTTTTTTTTTTGTCAGATAAGGAGGTCAGACTTGAGACCAAAGTATTTGACCTCTTCCTTTGCTGAGCTCTTTAATTTCCATCACATTAATATTTCCCCAGAAGAACTAAAAAAGTATTTGCTGCAAGATGGGAACAGGGTTTAGACCTGCTCTTAACCAAGGGTAGGGTATTCCAGTTTAATTTGAACCCAATTAAAATACACTTAGGCTCTTGGCTTAGCTTCTTGGTCAATACCTGTAGGACACCACCTGCTAATTAGGTCTGCTGATAAGATGTTTCCATGAGAGGCTCCTGAGAAGGGACCAACCCTTCGATCAAGAAGAATGCACAAAACACCAATTACCTGTAGGTGTTTGCTAAGTGCTAGATATAGAAAGGAATGGCGGAGTGTCTGTCCCAGGGCTTCAGAGACTAACGAAGGAGACAGTCTGGTAAACATAGTTAAATTACGTTCGTTTGCCCATTCAACAGATGCTTGTCAAGTGCCCATCCGGTGCCAGGCATCTTACCAGGCCGTGGGGTACCCCAGTGAACAAGAAAGAGTAGTGACAAGAGACATCAATAAATCATCACGAGAACACACGTGTAATTAACAACTGAAGAAAGAGCGCTGAAGGAATTTTAAATGGTCCCGTGAGACCTGGAGGAGCCTGGCCCAGTTAAGGAAAGCCAGGGTAAGGCTTTCTTTGGGAATTGACAATTGAATTAAGATTTGCAGAAAAATTAGGAGTTAAGCAGGTGAGTGGGACAGAGAGGAGGAGGAGAGGATGGTGCTGCAAACAGAGCCCACCTATGGCATGGGCAAAGGTCCTGGGGTGGGTGGGTGGTTGGGAGGGAGGGAGGGAAGGAGGGAGGCCAATTTAGAGAGAGCACGGTGGGAGGGGCAGTGGAGGAGGAAGGCCGGGCTGGACCCCCCAAGAGTCCTGTAGGCCGTGCCAAGGCTGTGGTCTCTGTCCCAGAGGGGAAACCATGGCAGGTGTGAGCAGGGCAGTATAGACGACGGTCACACCATGTGCTGCGAATGAAGTGTAGGAGGTTCTGCTCTGGGAGCACAGGGGGATCCACTAATCCAAACCCATGTGTGGGGAGTGGAGGAAGAGCAGGGAGGCTAGGCGCGGGGGGTGTGTCCAAGTCCGGCTTTCTGGAGGAGGAGATAGTTGAGCTAAATTTTTGAAGGGTGAGTGCGACTTAGCCAGGCCGGGTGGGGGAAAGGAGGGAGAGCGAGCGCTGTTGGCAACAGCAGGGTGTTTGGGTTAAGGCCTGGCCCAGCGTGAGGCTGTGGGGGACTCCGAGAAGAGGCCAATAAGAGGAAAGGTAATGGGGTTAGGCAGGGACCCAATGATGAAAGCCTCATAGGTCCCGGCAGCAGTCTGGGCTTATCCTGAAGGCAGCGGGGAAGCCGTGACCCAGTCAAAGATCTCCAACGGGGATCGGGTTCATGAGCTGGCACAGTCACTCTCGGCGAGACTGCAAGGGGACTGGCAGTGCTGGAGGAGAGAGACCGGCGCTGCGGGCCACAGCAGCCCAGCAGGTGAGGGAAGGTGTTGGGTCTACACTCTGCCAGCAGCAGTGAGGACGGAGAAGAGAGGGTGGTTTTAGGAGGCAGTAAAAAAGGTAAAATTGAAAGGGCATTGTCACCAACTGGATGGATGGGAGAGATTTCTATTCTACCCAAAGAACAGTCTGAATGAAACGAATTCTCCCATTTGCGTTGAGTCTTGTCTTGTGACCTGGTACATGGTCGCCTTTTGTAAGTGTTCCATGTGTCCTTGATAAGAATCAAGAATGGTGTTCCCTTCGTTGTTGGGTATAGCGTTCTCTTATATATATTCATTCGACAAAGCTTGGAAATTATGTATTTTCATTTTCTACATTCTTATTAATATTGTGTATTGGCTCTATTATTTATGACAGAAATGTGCTGAAGTCTCCCACCATCATTGTGCATTTGTCCATTTCTCTTCATATATTTGTCTACTTTTATTTCTTTTATGTATTTTGAGGCTCTTTGAAATTTTCATATCTTTCTGTTGAATTATTCCATTTATCATTATGCGGTGATTCCTTTTATCCTTAATCATTGTTTTTGCCTTGGACCTATTTTATCTTGTATTAATATAGCCACAGCAACTTTTAGTTTCTGTTGACATTTGTCTGGTACCTATTTTTTATCCTTTTTATCCTTTTTAACCTTTCTGTGTCCTTAGGCTTTAAGTGCGTCTCTTATAATGAGTGTAGATGGATTTTTAAAGAAATCCAACAGCTAGTAAATTTAGCCCATTTACATTTATTGTGATGATAAATATATTTAGATATATTTCTGCCATCTAATTTTGAATGATTTTTTAAATTTTCTATTCTTTTTCTAGATTATTTTGGATAAGTACAGTTTTATTTATTCCACCTCATCCCCCTTACCCTTAACAGTTGCTAGTTGGAGTTAATACATTCTGCTTCTTTTCTTTTAGTAGTTACCCTTAATATTTAAAATGCATATGGGACTTAACAAAATCTAAACTTCGTATCTCTAAGGAAGAGTTAAGGCTTTTGGATGATGTCATTCATAGAGACAGGGAGTGAGGACTTAGAGCCTATTTGGAACCAAAACCGAATTCTATTTTGTAGGTGCTGGGTTTGAGTATGCATCCAATTATCTCAGCAGATGCCTCTCCATCTACTTCCAGTGGCTTTATACACTTTGCAAAAGTGTGTCTTCTTTCATGGGTATTCTGCATTGCTTAAACAGTGATGGAGTTAAAAACAAAACGAGAAAATGCATGTCAACATTTATCTTAGATTCTTAGAACCATAAGTCCTTCCTTCTAGCTCAGTCACCAGGGCCAAGCTGAGCACAGATGTCTTCTAGCAATAACGGGCTTCACAAATGTCCTTGTAATACCCATTGGTAAACTGAGCCTGCAATGCTCCATAACTGTGGCTTACCTTGGTCTCCTTCATCTCCCCTGCTATGTTTGTGACTTAAATAATGGGGGTGGGGGCAGGAGGGCTTAGCTCATATCTGTCCAATATGAGAGGGAATGAAAAACTCTACTTTTCAAGCCAAATTGAACAATTATTTTAAATTAAGCATTTAATCACAGCTGACTTCGACCACACCAGGCTTCAACTAGTTCCATATAACTAACCAGTTACTCGTTAGCTCCTACAGGTCAGGTCACATTTTAATGCTTTTCAAGTGCTACTGTGACTGTTGTGCCCGTTCAATCTTTCAGACCACTCTTGGCGATGGGCAGGGTGGAGATTACGTGAGAAAACGTTTCGGAAGGAATACGTGACGCACGCAGGCTCCCAGAGCGAATGTGCGCACAGCCGTGGCTGTGCGGTGGTCGCTCACCACCCCAAATCGGAGACTGCCTGTCGCATTCCCGGGCAAGAGCGTGTGCTTCACATCCTGCCCACGTGTCAGGGTTCAGGTTCCCTCCCAGGGGCCGCAGCTCACTAAGTATGTCAGCCTTAACACGGATGTTCCAGCAGGCTTGGCGTTCCTCTCACTTTGGTGTCGCTGATAAGTCCAAAAAGAAGTCATCTGGCTTTCCTAAAATCTCAGCAGGGCCGCCTGCAATCTCAAAGGGCTGGGCTCAGCGCGCAGTGACGACAGGGAGCTCATCGCACTTGATCTTCTCCGTTTCCTAGCACAACACAGATAATCCCCTCCCCTGACAGCCAATAAAAAGAAAATAGTAACGAGAAGCAGAGCTGATAAATTTCCATTACACTTAATGCCCGATTTCACTCAGTTAATGGATTCATTTATTAGAGCAATTTGTGCAAATGCCCCAGGGCCTGCTAAGGTTGCTGCCTTATGGTTTTATCACTTCGTTTACTTCCTGTATTCCTGTCCTTCGACAAATAGTGGATTGGGAAGGAACTTGGGACCAACCACTGATCAAAATACAGGCAAATTGTAAATAAAGTTAAAAAAAAAAAAAGGCGGCTTTTCATGCCCCTGGGGTTTCCTCCGGAAACAAAAAGGGATTTCATTTTTTTGTGTGTTCAAGCTGATTCCTAATCCCCACTGCCACGGCCTGTAGGCTTCGTGTAGACTCCAGGCCTATTTTCAGGAGGCAACATGTCTCGCCAGTGTTTCCAGGTATGGATCTGAACTGAAGGGTCCTGGGAGCCACCTGCTGTCAGCGCAGCCATCCCCACGACTGTCCCTCTCACCGCGGGGAGCAGGGAGACAGCAGAGTTGTGGCCTTGTAGAACTGCAGGTTGCACCGTGGTCTCAGGGAGGGGACCCCTGAGGATCTGCTGGGCTCCGGCTGAGGCCATTTAGCCAGCGAGAGCCGCACGGTGATGAAGTCCAGGCTGCACGGCGTATACACGCACATGAGCGTGCCTGTACGGTCCTCAGCCAGAACTGGCGCCTCCAACCTCAGCCAGCCTTTCGGGACATCTGTCCCCCCTCATCCCAATGGGATGGAGGCAAGGATGCCAAAAGACAGAGCCAAATCCATGACCAACACTTAGAAAGCAATGTAAGACGCCTCGCTGGGGCTGGATCTAGGAGGAAGGCCACCCTTAACACGCAATTGCCACATAACAGGGACAAAGGGGGACCTCCATTGCAGGAAAGCCAGAGCCACTGAGAAACAAAATTCTGCCCACCTAAGATGGACCATACAAGTGGCTGTTTCTACAGTTAAATGGCAACCACTGGTCCATAATTATTGTCTCCCTGTACTAAATTAGGTGCATAACTTAGGAAGTGCTTGGGAAAAAAATTAATGCAAAAATTTATGGTCTCTTAGTTGTATTTGAAGGAAGGGGACTCTGGTGACGGCTGTGTGCGAATGGAGAGGCGAGGGGTGCAGAGAGCCGCGTGTGGGAGAGCTCCATTGCTTTACGTGAGGAGGGGCCCGGACGGGAGTGGAGCGAGGAATGGCAGCGAGAGGCAGCGACAGAGGCGGGCACAGAGACTCCGTGGCTTGTGGATGAAGGAGAGGGGTTTGGGAGGGAGATGCAATGTGGTGTGCAAGGTCAATGCTGCACTTTCTCCCCGTGAAATTGACGTGAATGAAATTAATTTTCCGTCTGTTATTGTATTATGTGGAAAAAAAACTGGTCAGAGTGTCTCCACGTGGGCAGGGGATGTGTGGGATGGTCTGACTTTGAATATAGTTTTTACGGTGCGTGCGGAATTCTCTTTGGGGGTCCTTGGAGGCACCTGCAGCAGTGGCTGGACCTGGGGACAATGTGTGTGGCTGCAGACTGGGCGAGACGCACCAGGAACATTCGAATGCCAGGAGCAGAGCAGACAAATGGAAGCTTCCAACACGAACCCTAATTTCAAAGTCACGAGGACAATTATTGCAACTGGTGCCCTGATTTACGACGGAGCTGCTTTCCCCGGGAGCAGCTGCCTTTCTGAGGCCGGCCGTGCGGGACGCGGTCCCGGTGCCGGTGGGTCGGGTTTCTCCCGGGGAGCGAGGGCACGCGTGGGGGCCCACTTCAGGGTTGGCATGGGGGCGCAAGTGGAAGTTACTGGTGGAGATGGCCAACGTTTGGGTCACAAACGAATAGCCTAAAGAATGACAAGCTTACAGGGGCAGATACACAAGCCAGGGAATGAGTAAAAACCCCACTTCTGGTAAAAATGCTGCCGTCTGAGTGAGGTCACTTAGCCTTTCCAAGGGGATTGGGGGCAAAATGGGGACTTTGCATTCAGAGTCCTTGTGAGGTTCAGCTCCAGCACTCGCCAGCCGTTGACCGTGGGCAGGCCACTGAACATCTCTAAGCTTTAGTTTTATTTTATAAAACATGGGGGTAATACTTGTGTCCACTAACAACGGTTGTGCTGAGGTTAAAGGAGTTAACTTGTGGCCCAGCATGTGTTAATGCTGCTGATTGCTATCATGTGCCTAAGACCACCTGCTACTCGGTGAGCTGGTATGGCACTTACCCTCAGCCTTACCAGCTGCAGTTCCCACGTTAGTTTCCTGGTCTCCTTTTTGGCCTTTTTCTTTTTATAGTTTCTGTAGTCACCAGCACCTTCCATCTCTTAAATGGTGAGGCAAGCATGTGCTTTTAAAATTCTAATGCTCACTGGTTTGTTTTTTAATCCTTAGGTGTGATTAATGCGTCTTTCCGCTAATAATATAAATCCGTATGTTGTGGCTATCCACCACGTTAGAGGATTATAACATATGACAGGGTGGTCTCTGTGTTATAAGTACGTGTCATATTAGAAAACAATTAGGACGCAGAGGGCCTGTGTACAGGGCAGACCCACCTTCCGTGTGCGACACGGCAAAATATCAAAGCTGCGGAATGAGCGGGAACCAGGCGGGGCCTCCCTGATGGTCTGTCTCTTAAAATTTCTTTTGCTACAGTGTTTGTGCTTTAAAAACCTCACTTACTCCCACTCTGGGCCTTATCCCCTGGTTCTAGTTCTGTTCCTCCCAGCAAACCCAGGCCGTTTCCTTTACCTGTTAACCCTATCCTGTCCCTAGTATGCCCCCGAAAGGCCTCCCACGCCCTTGCTCACCGGCCCCCAGGTGTCCGGGCCACCTGTACCGCGTGCTGCTTGCAGCACCGAGTCGGGACAGCGCGAGGGTGGAGGACAGAACCTCAGTCCCGGCCTCCCGGCTCGTGTGGGTTTCGGCCAGACCCAGGGTGTTATTTTAGTGCAACTTCAGGGTTTAATTTGAGGATGTGTGGACCAGAAGGAGGGACCAAAACATGATTTTTTTTTCCGCTGGTCAAATGATTAAATTTGAAGTTCTATAAAACGCACAGCTTGGTTCAAAGCTCCGTCCAATTGGGAAAGAGAGAAATGCCTTGAAAATCCTTCCCAGGCCGGGGACCAGCCGTCCTGAACCTCCGGCCGCCTGGCAGCCCCGTCCGCGCGGCATCACCCGGCTGCTGACCGGTGGCCACCAGCCCCAGCCCTGGAGCTGGCTTTCCCTGCTTCACCGCGCGCGTCCTGCCTCTGCTGCAAGGGCGTCCTACAGGTCTGTTTCGTTTCCTGCAGTCCTGAAAGCGCCGCGGCAGGCAGCCGCCGCTGAGCCATGGCCGAAGGGGAGATCACAACCTTCACGGCCCTCACCGAGAAGTTTAACCTGCCTCCGGGGAACTACAAGAAGCCCAAGCTCCTCTACTGCAGCAACGGCGGCCACTTCCTGCGCATCCTTCCCGACGGCACCGTGGATGGCACGAGAGACAGGAGCGACCAGCACAGTAAGCACCTTTCCCGTGGTCCCCCCTCGCCTCTCTGCTGTCTCCCTGGGTCAGGGAGGGGAGGAAGGAGGACACCTAGGAACTGGAACCCACTTCTCCAAGGTCCCGCTCGGGCGTGGCGCATCCAGAGGCAGGGGTGACATGCATGCATGCGCGCACCAAGGTCGGGGTTTGTGAAATAGGGAGTCGTGGGGGCCCCCACTTCCCGTGGCAAGTTTTTTCAAAGGGCTCTCTGCTGACCTAATGCAGCTGGCTGCCAGGGCCCCATCGCTGTAGCTTTCCCATGTCCCTGCAGCGGTGAAAGATCTGGCCCCGTGGCGGGTGGGGGCTGCCTGCCCCACGCTGGGACGAGGCAGGTGGGCGTGGCGGCGAGCCCGCGCTCGGTTTCAGGCTGGCTGACTCTCCAGGTGAGGTTCGCACGGGCCTGGATTCGTGAAACCCTAGTTCCCAGTCGTGGTCCTGCACGTCGTAAATCGCGCGGCTTTCCCCGTGCGGTCACGCAGATGCGGCTGTGGTAACGGGGAGGGGTGAAGCCGTTCTCCAGACCTCGTGGAAGGCGGAGCGCGGGAGCGACTCCAGACAAATGCCGAGTGTCTCGCCCAGGCCTCCCTGGCAGCCCTGCTCTCGGGGGGTGGTGACAAATGAAGGGCTGGCTTTGGAGGGAAGAACCTTCTTGGCTATCCAAGTGCGAACATCTCTTCCTTCTGCCTCGGTGCTGCGGGTGCTGGTGTGTGTGTTTGGTGTCGGACGTCGGGGCCCGGCGGGGATGTCACTGGAGATGCCCTGGGTCAGATGTTATGGAGCAGCCGAAAGGCAGGTCCGGCCCCCGCTTAGAGGGTCAGCCATCGCGAGAGCCAAACGTGCCGCACGTCAGGGGAAGGAAGGTGTGGGTGGGATCGGGAGACGAGGGTAGGACAGGCAGGAAGGAAGGTCCTGCAGGACTGGCTTTGAAATGGAATGCAAAACTGTGGCTTTGACGTTATGGCCTGTGTGTCAGGTGGTCTCAATGATTCACGGACTCTGACCGCAGGCTGCAGGCTGTAAGCACACACGGCCACGTCAACGTGCTCACTCTCTACCCTCGGGTGCAAGGCCATGGCGAGGGATGCTGGCATTCCCAGACCAGGTGACACTGTCCCTTCCTTCCTACCCACCACCCAGCCCCTTGACATGAGGAGCAGGAGGACTGAGGCTGGGGCCTGCAGCTGTGGGGTGAGGGTCTGAGGCTTTGTCTCCATGGCTCGTCCGCAAATGAGCCTGCCGCATGCCTCACGCTCAGTGAAACACGAGCACTAGAATAAGGCAAAAAAGACTCTGTTTATTAGAAAAACATGCATGAGCAATGTTTACTGCAGATAAATGGACTTAGATTGTAGCGCCTGGTGTCAGGCACGACATACAATTTGTGTGATCTGCCCCACACGACACAAGGGGACAAGCTTTAATTTCTCTGGGTTTTAAATGTGTCTGATACGTCTTAGCCAGTTTTGTGAATCAGTGGGGAATGCTCTCTGGTGCTCAGAACCCCACAGGAAAGACAACCTCGTGAGGTGTTCCTCGGGGTTCAGCCGGCTCTTCCAGGCAAGCTTGAATTCTGGAGTACCAAGAGGCTGCAATACTGGAATTTCTGCACCAACAGCATGTGACTGCATTGCTGTCATTCCATCATTAACAATATAGGCTGCACTCTTGGCATGTGACCCTGGGACAACTTCTGGAGGCTGCTGTGGATTTGGCGGCCTGCCCTAAGATGTCACGAAACCTTGGAACGCAGCGCACTGTGGCTGTAGGCGTGTGTGTGTGTGTGTGTGTGTGTGTGTGTGTGTGTGTGTGTACGTCTGCACCCAAGTAATGCCAGGTTATTTGCCAAGTGAGCCTGGGCAAGTTACTCAACCTTCCCATCCTCAGTTTTCTCACGTATAAAGTAAGAAACCTCACAGTTTTCTTGGGAGGATTAAATGAGATAATACAGTGAGGGTTCCTGGCACAGTGCCTGGCCCAGAGCAACAGCACAGCATGTTCTGGTTAATACTGCTGTTGTCACCAAGCTGCCCGCATATTCCACCCAGCATCAGGAAGCACCTTCCAGTCTCTGTTCTATAATGTCACCTCCCAGCCCGGCCAGGTGTCTAGATTCGGGCTGGGATTCCGGCATCTTCGCCAACACTGAGTTGTTGCATTGGCCTATTATTTGCTTATTCTGGAACTAAGAACAAACGACCAAGAGGACAGGAATCAGAGTAACCGAGGTGGGGGGTGGGCAGAGGTCTATCCCTGCCAATGCCAGGGGCACTGGATAACCCACAGACCCTCCGCAGGGGCCTAGATTCGGAGTCAGAGGGTTTGGGTCCACATCCCTGCCCCGCCACGTTCCAACTCGAGCAGCGCTGGGCGACTGACTTTCTCTCCATCGTGCATGACGCACTCTGCAAAAGCAGCTCCCAGCCCCCAGCCCTGTGACTCTTCCGATCATCCTCTCTGGTCTAGAAATGTAAATGTCTCCAGTGTTCTCAGCTGTCCGATTTTGGGTAAAATCTTTTAATGCCACTGAGACTCAGTTTCCTCACCTGTGGACTGGGAGTGGTAACACTGCAGTGTGTGCTGCACACAGGGCTGGCCGCTCTGTTTACTGACATCCTGCAGGTGAGTCCTGGCAGCGGCTGCGCTCTCTGAATGCGGTTCTGTCGCCCTCTTCTGCTCAGTGGTGGTACTACCAGCGCCCTTCTGAATTTCCAGGGCTCCCTGGATAAAGTGCTCAGCACAGCTGGGCGAGGGGCTGGTTTCATTTCTTGATCATTACTTTGGGCATGACTAGAGACTGTGCAGACAGGTAGAGTCACACTTTAAGACCTCCTTCAGGAAGAGCACTTCTACACGCCAAATATTTAAATAAGTCACACAACCTGGAACTGTGTCATTGCCTTTGAGCTCCACGAGGCAAAATTAACTCCATTTCACAGCTTTTCTTTTTCCCCAAATTTGCTGTGGGCAAATTTTCAAAATTTGCCTTCCTCTAGGAGAATAAGTTTCCAAGTACCTAACCTTTCTTATGGTGGTACAAACCTGCAACGAGTGCTTGCCTGCAGGCCATTCTCATATAAACCTGAGTACAAAGTCACCACTGGTGGGGATTTCTGGCCTGCAGGGAAGATGGTTTTGGTTTGTGCCCTGGCCATGCCTCAGATCCCAGCTCTAGGCAACCGCCCGCACAGGCTGTGAGCATGTGGAACACTGCCAGGCAGAACCAGCCAGGGAGAGCTGCAGATTCCGGGGACAATGGGCACAGTTTGTGAGAAGGCTCGTGTTGACTCCTGGAACTTCAGCTCTGGGAGACGGGAAAAGGCTGTCACCACAGAGGGAGGGTCCTGGAAGAGGAACAGGTGCAGGGGAAGACGGCCCAGTTCCATTTTGGACACAGAACTTTTGGAGAGAGTCTCGCACCTCACGCAGCTCTCCTTGGGGTTATAATTTCTACATTTACGTGTGCGATTATTTAATGCCTTTCTCTCCCAGTGGACTCCCTGAGGACAAGGACTTTGTCTCTTACTGCTCGATACTACAATTCCTGTGTCTAACACATTGCCTGACACTTGGCATAATACCCCGGAAACATTAATTTGGCGAGTGACTGAATTGTATTGGTGGCAGATAAATTCAAATACAACAATATAGTCCAGGCCAGGCATGGTGGCTCACGCCTGTAATCCTAGCACTCTGTGGGAGGCCGAGGTGGGCAGATTGCTCGAGGTCAGGAGTTCGAGACCAGCCTGAGCAAGAGCAAGACCCTATCTCTACTATAAATAGAAAGAAATTAACTGGCCAACTAATATATATAGAAAAAAATTAGCCGGGCATAGTGGTGCATGCCTGTAGTCCCAGCTACTCGGGAGGCTGAGGCAAGAGGATCGCTTGAGCCCAGGAGTTTGAGGTTGCTGTGAGCTAGGCTGATGCCAGGGCACTCGCTGTCACCTGGGCAACAAAGTGAGACTCTGTCTTAAAAAAAAAAAAAAAAAAAAGAACTGGGAGAATAACATGCACATGCGCATCCCAAACCTGCAGCCCTCGGCCTCCCCTCCCTGCCCCCGAGCACGTAAGAGGCTACGCGGGGAGCAGGATCACCGGCATCACTCGCCGCGCAGATGGAGATGTTCCTGAGCAACGTGTGCGCCAATCCAATATGCATACACCAAGCCACATCCTACGGGCACTCGCGGAGCTCGCTAGTCAAGAGAACCCTACTTGGCAGTCTTTTATGAAGGGCAGGCTGCTCTTCAGTGAAAGCCCTCTGGCCCTGCTGTTTTGGGGGAGTCCAGGTTTCTGTCCTCCGGTTGATGTGATCAGCACGGGCGGCGGCCCGGACCCAAGGTCAAAGCCGATTTCCAGTGGCCGCGACGGGCGGGGCCAGGGGAGGGTGTCCAGGCCAGGGTGTGCTCCCTGACAGGGTGCTCCAGCCTTGGTCGTGTGGGATGGAAAGGACTCTGCCCCTCCTCCCCGGCACCCCTTGCCTGATTAGACACAGGGATCTTTCTAGATAAACTTAAAACACACACACACACACACATATATATGTATATATCACTGTCTCTGTACTATACCAAAATTTTCTAGGTACCCTTTTCAGACCCTAAAGGAGCAGATACCTTTGTAAGTTTTAAGAAAAAAGTCTCTTTTTTTTATGTGTGTGTACATATATATATTCCAAAGCACTGGAACTTTTTTCCCAAAACTGATTTTTCCCCCTTCTCTTTCTCTAGTGTTTTACAGAGGCCAGCTTGTGGCTACGTTTTAATTATAAACGCCCCTGACATAAAACAACCTCACCAAGTTCTGAATGAGGCTGACCTCACTTTGGGTAAACACAGCAAAGGACGGGAAGTCTCTAGCCCAGAATAAACCAGGCACGTCATCTCTCCCGGCCTCTCTTCGGGGAGCAGGGGCGGAGAGCGGCTGAGAGACCACGGGCGGACACGCCAGGGAAGCAGAACCTCCCTGTCCAGGCA